GGGGGGGGGCGATGTGTGTCTGTGGAGTGACGACAGTTCGACAAAGAAGGCTTTGATTGTCTGTGTTCTACCCACTACGTTGCATTGAACGCCACCAACGTCACATTCCACATCACACAGCACACATGCTTATTGGCCGGTCGATTAGCTTGGGAGTGGGTGCGTGAGTGAGATGAGTGTAGTCTGCCTGAGTGTCTGCCTGAGGGCCTGCCTGAAAGGCTGCCTGATGTGTCCATGGATGGATGGATGGATGGTTGGGTGAGACCATCTTTCCAGGCACTTAGAGAATGGTATAGAGTTTATGAACGTCCGTCTACATAAAGCGTACACACATACAGCGCACACCAGAATTACACGGCAGCTAGTAGTCACGACGTCTATATAACTGTTGTCTGTCACAACGTTCTGTATGCACCAAGCAGAGAGAATAACTGGTCAGTCACCTCTAGTCTGTGCGAGGACACATCCAGACTGCAAGCAGGACCAGACATGTTGCTTGCTATCCAGACATGTGAACACACACGATAGCAAGCACACCACCACTGCTCCATTGTGTCGATTTAGCTGTGAAGGCGCGTTAAGACATGATGGAGCCATCAGTCTTGCATCAAGTGTCATTCAGGCTCGAGTTTGGTCGGACCGTCGCCTGCGTGAGGGCTGCTGATATGCATGCGTGCATGTCCGTCTGCGTGTCCTATTGCTGCCTTCCTATGGCCGTTCGCCTGTGCTGTAAGTCGATTGGGAGGCCTGTGTGTTTGATATGTAGTATCTTTGTGTCTCAAGTCCTTTGTCTGTGGGGGTGTGTGAGGGAGTCAACCGTGTGGATATGGCTCAGGCGCACAAATCCAATGTTTCCATGCATGTCTCGCACAGCCTTACATACCTACATCGACTCGTTGACACAGACAGTCAGTCACCGAAAATAGCTGCGCAAAGTCGGGTGTACTTCTCTCGCAGTCTCCCCTATCTCTGGACATGACGGCTGACAACGCTACGCACAGCCAAAGAAAAAATCCGAAGCCACATACAGCCACCTACTCACACAGCGATCTCCTCTGGTTACAAACATTACACAGACATTACACAGAGATGAATTCCTTACTTCACGCGCTTGACAACGGGATAGACAGGGCTGCCGGACAGCGGAGGGGTGTGAATGCTCAGCCGGTACTTGCCCAACTGCTGCGGCTCATAGGTTGTCACAGTCAAGCGATTCTCGCCGGCCTGTGAGACACAATCATAGCTGCACCATTCCTTCTGACGCCATTGGATGCTTTTGCTCACCTTAAAGGTGGTGTCGGTTTGCAGGTAAAAACTCAGTGTGTAAGCGATTTTTCTGAATACGTCTTGTACAACTGCGACGCCGTGAGGCTGTCGAGAGCAGCAGAGACTTCGCTCATCTGTGTTTTCAACGTGTGCGCTTTTTTTGGCCCACATGCTGAGATTCCAGCAGAACGACCGCCTTCACGTCCTCGGGCGTGATCACAGAGTACTGAGGATTCTTGTCGAATGTGGGATGGTTTCTGCACCCGCCTGCGTTCTCTTTGGTCCATTCTCCGTCATGATATTGCGAGATCCACCCTTGAGGTATCACCGGGGGCAGCTCATGCAACGTGGCCTTCACTGTCGAAAAGACACTGAACGTGAAGTTGAAGGCCTCCTGGGTTTGAATACACATATCCGTGGATGAAAGCATGGTCGGTTTTTTGTCTTGCTGTCCTCACCTTGCGTTTGTATTGCCCGACCACGATGGTATACTTGAGGTTGTAGTCTGAAAGCTCTCTCTCTACCGGATCGTCCCTCTTCCTCCAGGGCAAACGGAACTTGTCCAGCTTGATCATCATGTACGTTGCCATACTCAGCTTCGACCATCGTTCGCCATCAATTAATTGCACTCGATCACCCCCCTCGAAGACGTGAGTTGTGATACTGATCTTCTTTTCCTTCTCCTCTTTGACGTGATCCGCAGCGCTGATATGCCGATGCAGCTGCACCCACACCTCCACCTCAGAGAGACACAGATCGTCTTTTGTCGGCTTCAGCTCCAGAACGAATTGCGGACTGAAGGCGGACACTCTGCGAGCACTGCTGACGAATGCGGCTTGGCCTGTAGGATCGAAGCTGCATACACAATTTGACGGACAACGGATAATCTACCATCCAGAATCATAAGCTCTATGGGCACCATGAGTGAACATCGACTCGATGCGGGAAGATTGAGGGGTCATACGCCAAAGAAATCCCATCGAAGTGCGTTGATATGTCCTTCCATTCCATCCAAAAACATCCATCGTCGTTCTGATGCTGCACACACACACACACACACGCACAGAGGTCGACACATGTGCCTCCGTAGAGGTCGGCTTGCAATTTGCTGGATGCCGATGTGGCTCCACCACCTTCTGCGGGTCGTATTGTAGCTCGTCCTTCATTCTGTGGGTCCAAGAGAGTCTATCGGATGGCGAGAATTTGCCCTTCCAGCGAGTTTGTCGATGTGGATTGCGGATGAACATGAGCTTGTTGCCGTCGACTTCAGCTGCTTCGAGCACGGAGTACGCGTGCTGTGAGAGGAGTCCTGAGCGCAAGATACACGAATATTTCATGTTGAAATACAGGTAGTAATCAAGGGCTGGTAGAAGCCTCACCTGTGTTCCCAATGGCGCTTTCTACCTGCCGATCTGAAGAGGCTGGGGTGGCCAGACATGCGACAGCTTTGCGGTCACGGAGAAGCTGAAGGATGTCGCTCCAGAGTTGGTCAATGCTTCTTCTCATGTTCTTCTGCAGCTTGTCAAAGTCGATGCACTCAGCAATCCACCCCGAGAGGAGATAAAGGTTGTCAGGCGCGAAGCTCCCGTCGATCGACGCATAGCCGCCCATCGTCTACACAACGATGGACATCAGAGCAATGCACACGTGTCCTGTGTGAGTGGAAAGGGCGCGGACCTTTGCATATGCCTGTATTTCAAAAAGAAAGGCATGCGGACAAAGCGTGCTTTTGCAAATGCTCTTGTTGTGCCTTTTCATATGCCTTACCTTCTCGAACAATGTCGGCCACAGCTCCTTGGGCACAGCAGAAGTCGCCGTCATTCGCTCGTACTCCCTCTTGGTGAGAGTCGGGATGGTATCATCAAGGATTACCTTCCTCGGACCACCATTGAAGAAGAGCTTCCACACGTACTTGCCTTCTGGACTGAGAACGGGCTTTGGACTGTCCGGTCTCTCTTTCGGGTAGATACTTGCTTCACGAGAGGCAAACGGCCTTTTTCTTCGCAATTGGCCAGCGCAACCAGAGAGCTCAGGAATGCACAGTCTCCAACATACCCCTGCTGGACACTGTCCGCCGACAAGCGATCGGTCGCGACCATGGCATTGCTGACAATCTCGGGCAGGCGCCTCCACATGTCGAAGCCAGGCTAGAACTTTCTGCTTTGAGTCTTGGACAGAGAGAAGTCTCCTTCATTGCCGTCCCACCCGATATCAACGAAGGCCTCATTATCGCTGTGGCTGCGGACGATCAAGTCAGGATCGTTCTCCTCCCAAAGAGGGAATGAGTGACCTCCAATGCTGTTGCCTTCATCCAGAATATCTTGTTGGCTTTTCCGCCTGCGAAGCCAACTGGGAATGGTGATCGATCCCTCTTGCTCAACGGGAGACACTGGAGCAGCCCGAAGAACAGCTTCCAGCTCGGCGATCCGCCTCCTTGTCTCCTCGTTGGCTGCCAGCGCAGGACGCCCCGCGAGTATCTTTCTCACGTACTGGTCGTCTAGACCAGCTGCACGACCGATCCTCCGAATAAAGTTGCCCTCACCCAAGGGAATGGCCACGGAGTCGTAGGTGCCGTAGCCGCCCTGCTTGCTGGAAATCGGCCCTTCCGGCAAAGGCGCCTCAGAATGAGCCCAAGGGGACAGCAAACGAAGCATGTCAGGGTCGAAGCGCGTCCATGCCAGATCGAGAGGAGTGCGGCCTCTCTGAGCCAAAACAACAAAGTTGAAAGATCCTCTTTCGCTTTTACTATCATTGCTACGTCGTGTACCTCATCTGCGATGAAAAGAGCCTCTCCTTTGAATCTCTTCAAGAGCTCCTCTACCAAAAGCACATCTTCGTTCACCACAGCCAAGTGAAACGCAGTCTGACCGTCCTGGCGCACACACAAATAGCACAAACACGTATGTCCAGCACTGTGAGACATGCTGAGACAAAATACCTTTCGCTGTTGCTTCACTCGGCCTTCAGAGGCGAGAAGAAGGATGACGTCATCATCAATGCAGTCGTGAAGAAGAGCGAGATGAAGTGGCAAATCGCCGTCCTGAGACCGCAGCGGATGCAGAATTCCTCGATTAGTGGATGACTTTGATCGCTTACTTTGTCTTTGATGTCCAACAATTCCGGACAACCCTCCGCTGCTGCTGCATTTGCAAGGAGGCGTATGCATTCACTCTTGCCGCATGCGGCAGCCACAGACAGAGCCGTCTGCGAAGCCTGAAGGAGACACAATGAATAGGCATCTTTCACTCCCAAAAGTGGGTGTCTCCTTACGCTGTCTCGCAGGAGCAACGCCTCTTTGTCGGCATGCTTCAGCATTTCTTTAAGAGCTGAGGGATTACCAAACGCCGCTCCCTCATGAAGCGGAGTGCGTTTCTGCAGGAGACATCATCACTGTATCTGCAGAGTGGCCGGGTGAGTGTGTGCCCACCTTGATGGTGTTCTGGCTTTTCATGCCGTCCTTCGCAGCTAGCAAACGGACCATCTCCTCATTCCCATTTGAGGCAGCAAAGTGCAGTGAGGAATTGTCATCCTGCCGGCAGTGCATCTCTATTTGTCGCCCCCTTCATCCTCTAGGTCCTACCTTGTCTCGCGCTGTGATAACGTGCATGCCCCTGTTTTCACGACAAAACTTGGCCATCCGCTCCACAACGGCAGCCTCATGGCCGTGAGCAGCCATCGCCAATACATTACGACCGTGCTGCGAGAACAAGGGATAAGCAGAACCAACACAGCGCAGATATACCTTCGCCTCTCACCTGGTCGGCGTTCTCTAGACAGGCCAGAGATGGCGGCCGTGCCGCCACGACGACATCAAGCATCGCATGGACATGCATCCATCTGCCCTTAGCCACTCCATACTGCAAGGGCGTCATCTCGAGAAAGCCCTTATAGTTGATGCTGTCCGGTCTCGACAGAAGCCGAGTGATGTCAATGAAATCGCCATGGATTGAAAGGTGAAGAGCGGTGCTGCCATCCTGACACACAAGAACGATGCAACAGACACAAATAGACATTTCGTGACCTACCCTGTTTGTGGCCAAGAGGAGCTCTCTCGACAGCTTCGAAGCCTCAACAATGCTCGGCACGATTGCCGGCCGACCAATGGTAGCAGCCAAGTGTAGAACCGTCTGCTCTCTCTGCATCACACGATGACATTGCCCTTGGTGAGCTCTGATGAAGGATTTGGCTGACTGACGTTGTCTTGCAGTGCCAAAGTGGACGAATCGGCGGCGCTAACGAGGAGCTTGGTGACTGCGGCATTGCCGACCTGGGCCGCTGCATGAAGCGGCGTTTTGAGCACCTGACAATCAACACACACTTTGCAAGACGCCTCTGACTCACTGAGAGGACACAAGCGCTCACATTGTCCTGTCTTGAGATGTGGTGACTCAGCCCAATCGACAGAAGTGCTGCGACGACGTCCGCCTTGTCCATCCGCACAGCCCAATGCAAAACGCTCCGATTCCCCTGCAGACAACAGCAGCTCGAATGAGTTTTCAGGGAGGTGCGTGCTGCCGGCGTACATGGCTGCCTCATCCAAGATCCTTCGTGCTGCGAATCGCTGATCTGACTCGGACGTCTCAGACTGGTCGAGGCTCTCCACCAGCTGAGACGCGAGGGATTGGGGTGCGCCTCCCTCCTCGTGGAGCTCCAGCACGAATGCCAGCACTGCGGCGACAGCCGCTTTCCCGCCTTTGTCGGTCATTTAATTTGCCGCTCCCCCAGAACCTCGTTGGGGGCCTGTGGGGGAGAGCCGCCACCACTCCACTTACTGGCACGCCCGTTATAGACGAACGGCGGCATCCAACGGGCGGAGGATGGAGTGCCAGTGGGAGCAAATTCAGACCAGCGGCGACGTCTACTTGCCCCGCTCGGGGCATGCCGTGGTCCTCTATGAGGACGTTTTGTACCTGTTCGGCGGCACCGACAAGACGGCACGCCAAAATGATCTCTACGCCTTCAATATCGGTGAAGTCGCTGAGAGGAAAGCATGACTCTCTCTCTCTCACGTTCTCTCTCTCTCTCTCTCTCTCTCTGTGTGTGTGTGTTTGTGTGTGTGTGTGTGTGTGTGTTGCCATTCCTTCACCTGGGCAGAGAACAGTCTGTGGCAGTTGGTGGCGGACGACTCCGGCCCCTCCCGCCCGCCCAATGCCCGGTCCAACTGTCAGGGCATCGCATACGAGGGCAAGCTGTACTTCTTCGGCGGGTTTACCGGGAAGGGCGGCGAGTACTTCAACGACGTGCACGAGTTTGACATCGCCCGCTGCCGATGGGCGCCCATCAAGCCCATCGGGGAGCCGCCCGCCCACCGCAGTGACCACAGCATGGTGCTCTACGGCACCACTGCCTACATCTTCGGTGGGTTTGATGGCTCCAACCGGTTGAACGATGTGGGTGTGCTGAGCCTAGCGGGCGAGAGCAAGAGGTGGCTGGCGAACGGGTCAGCGCAGAACCCGCCTGAAAACCGATTCGGGCACACGGCCGTCGTCTACGAGAATGGCATGTAAGCTTAGTAGTGTGTGTGTGTGTGTGTGTGTGTGTGGGCGGGGGTGGGTGGGTGGAAAGAGTGGTGTGCCATTGTATTTGTTCGTATGTGTGTGTGTGTGATGGGTGTGTGTGCAGGTATGTATTTGGCGGTTGGAACGGGCAGAACACGTTATCGGATTTGTATGAGTATGTGTTTGGCACCAACGAGTGGATCAAGGTGGAGCCCAGGGGAAGCGCACCCAAATCCAGATACAGGCACCCACCCACCCACCCACCCACCACACCACACCACAACATACCCCAGAAACCATCGTGTATCTGTGTGTGGTGCGCATGTGTGCCGTGCAGGCATTCTGCTGTGATCGGTGGGACCAAGATGTTCGTCTTCGGCGGCGTCGACGAGACACATACGCGATACGCCGGCACGAACCCAGCCAAACACCACACATGCAAACACGCACACCACACCACACCACACAACACATGTTGCTTTGTTGTGTCTTCTTTCCCTCTCTACCTACCTGCTCCACACAGATATCCACGTGTTCGACTGCCAGGCGCGCACCTGGACGCAGTTGGAGACGCACGGCGACGTGCCGTCTGGCCGCACGTGGCACCGGGCCGTCATGCACCGGGGGTACATGCACATCCTCGGCGGCTTCGACGGCGACCAGCGGCAGAACGACATGTATCGTATCAAGGTCCTCAGTGCAGAGCAGGAGCGCATCGAGGAGCAGAGGATCAACTTGGCCAGGAGCAAGCTAGCCAGGAGCATCCTGTCGCCCACTGGCGCCGCTGCGAAAGGTACGAACATGTCGACAAAACACACACAGACGAGGGAGGAGGCGGTGTGCTTGTGCTCATGTTGCGTGTCGTGTGAATGTGTTGTGGGATATGTGGTGTAGGCGCGACGACTAGTTTCAGTATGGATGACCAGGTCTTAAACTACATCAAGGCAGATGAGCTCGAAGTGTCCGGGTTTGGCGGTGTTCTCGGTATGCGACGCAGGAGTCGGTGGCGTACTTGACAGATGGCTTCGTGTATGTCTCTGGTCAAACAGGCTCGGGTGGAAGAGGGACTGTGTTTAAGGCCAGGTGGAAACCTAAGGGCTTGTCTGTGGCAGCCAAGATGCTGGTGAGTGCTTGTGGAGGACCTGTGGGGCGAGAACTCACACAGCGTGCACAATGGGTCGTATGTGCAGACGAATCATCGATGAAGGAAGCGCAGAAGGAAGTTTTGCTACTCAGTCACGTTCTCCGCGCCAAGCATCCTCGTTTGATCAAGCTCCATGGGCTGGCTGAGCAGGACGGGAAGCCAATAATCGTCACAGGTACGCACTGTAGAAATGCGCAGGTTCGGTAATGCCCCTTTCTCTCTGCCCTTGTATCTGTCAGAGCTGTGTACCGGTGGCCCCGTGCACAAGTACATCGAACGGCTGGCTAAAGACGGGCGTCTTGACGACAGCATCCGCCAGAAACTGGCCGTGCAGGTATATCGCAACGGCACAATCATACTCAGTTGAGATTACAGTGCAAGGAGTCTCGGCGCCCTGTCTGTGGTCAGATTTGCGAGGGCATTGTTGCCCTTCACGCACACAAGGTCATCCATCGCGACCTCAAACCAAGCAACATACTCGTAAGCCACGCGACTTGTCTTCAGCCGTGAGCTTTGGCCACCACTCGGTCCTGCTGTCTCTTTACTCAGGTCGATGCCGGAGGTAGCATCAAGGTAAAGTGAACAGACAGGCCCCGGTACTAGCAATCTTTACAAGTTACTCTCAGATCACCAACTTTGGCCTCGCGAGAATCCTGCTGAGCACGAGCAAATCGGTCACTCACGGTGAGAGCAGGAGAGATATTGCGGGCACATAGAAACAAATCTATGTGTGCTTTCACAGGCCTAGGAAGACATGGCTTCATGGCACCCGAGACCTATGACAGGAGTGAGGCGCCGTACCTGACCATTTGTCCTCGTATTCTTTCTGATCGGCCTTTGCAGACAACCCAATATCATTTGCAGCCGACATATGGGCGCTGGCATGCGTTTTGGTGGAGATACTTGGCGGTAAGCTGCTGTCTTGCTGCTCACCGCGTCCTTTCGCGCCTTCGTTCTACAGGAAAGAGGCCGTTTGCTGAGTTGGGGTCGCTGAGTCCGGAGGCAGCTCATACGGAGGCGATGAGATTGCATGGTCAAGGAGTCAAGGTATGCATGTACCCATGTACATATTCGATCAGCGTTTCTCTTGCATGTGACAGCCTGAGGTTCCCACTGGCAAGCTGTTCCCTCCACACGTGCGACAGATCATTCTGGTACTTGCAGAGGCCTCAAGAAGACTCCTGCGCTGATCGAAATGTGCTCGTGCCTCAGATGTGCTTCGAGAAAGACCCCAACAGGCGACCGACGGCCCAGCAGGTTGACACTTGATGCGCAGGAAAGATGTCGGCCTTTGTCACCTATGTCGCATTTGTGTCATTTGCTATAGGTTCTCGTCGCCCTGACAGGCGCATCCCGACCAGTCACACCAAATCCCCCTCCTACGGCACCCCAGGACGCGAGTACGAGAAGGCAGACACACACACACACGCAATGAAATGAAATGGGTCGATTGTCTATTGCAGACACGATCACATTGCCGAGAAAGCCGCTGTCGCCATCGGCACCGAATTCTCCCTCCGATGGTCGGCTATCGCCTGCAGACATTCTCGAACTGTAACTCATCTCCGGACGCGACGGACAGAGAAAGAAAGGACTCCTGGAGTTCGCCAACGAGATCGAGCGATGCACATCTTGTGCATCTGTGTTATATTCTCTTCTGGTCAGCGGTTGGATCAAGATTGCAGAGGGAGGGAGGGAGGAAGGGAGGGAGGGAGGGAAGGAGGGAGGAAGGGAAGGTGGCCATCTGTTGCTCCTAGTGTCCCGTGGTATACACGCGCGGATGTCCGTCTGGCTGTCTTGTCTGTCTCTGTCTGTGAACGTTTGTCTGTGCTGTAAGTCAATCGGGAGGTCTGTGTCTCAATCAGTCTGTGTGAGAGTGTGTGGGGGGCGAGGGAGAAGGGGTCAACTTTGCTACTAGGTCAGGTCGGTACACATATTGGTCATCCTGTTGGAGGTGTCGGTGGTTCAAGCACAAGTCCTAGCCCTTGAAAGAATGGGTGTCTTGGTGGGGTGGTGACAGCTTGACCAAGAAGGCCTTGACTATCTCGGTCCTTACTACCGTATTGCATTGCACGTCGAGAATCGGACGCTTTTGCGAGTGAGTGGGCATACATGCAGAATGGCATTGAAGGCGATCAATTGAGTCCCATCCATGCATGGCCGTACTGTACGTTGGCAGGCAGACATATGGAATGCATATGCACAGCGACAACTCATAAATTTGTCCGCCCCTCCTTCCCCACACTCACACATCGCCGTCAGTCAGAGCAACCTCTGACAGCCATACCAACCATCCAAACAACCAACCAACCAACCAACCAAAACCAATGTAGCCGTCTCACCCACTGCACCCATCGATCCGTCCCTCCCTTCTTGCCTTTTCCCTCTCTACTCAGATAACATACATGCGTTCGTACATCATGCGCAACACTCACTGCCTGCATGGTCAATGAATGCACCACCCACCATCCACCCACCCATTCATTGTCTGCCCACCGACCGGCTCATTGTCTTTTCAGCTCTTGACAAATTAGTATCGTGACGCCAAACAAACAAACAAACACCCTCCCCTCCCCCCCTCCCCCCTCCCTCTACTTAAGCGCCGAGTCGTTTGAGAATGGCGATGATCTGTCCGAAGTCGGGTCTGAGCTGCGGCTGGTGCTGCCAGCAGCTCTTCATCAGGAAGTCGAGCTGCGGGGGCATGTCAGGCGGAATTAAACCGAGGTTGGGGCGCACACCGTTGTTGCAGATCATCATACCTACAGACACACACACACACACAGGTGGCGTGTTGTGTGTTGTGGGGCAGGGAGGTGTTCTCACCAACAGATACGGGGTTGAGGTGCTCGTACTCTTGGAAAGGCGGCGTGCGCGTGGCGAGCTCATACAGACACACACCGAATGAGTACACATCAACCTACACACAGACAGACACCCATTGAGACAGACACTCCTCCAGACATGCATGAACGCCCCTTCTGTGTTCACCGACTTTTTCGTCATAGTGCGGCATGCCTGCGAGGACCTCGGGCGCCATCCAGCTGACCGTCCCCGCCCAGCCGGTCATCCGACGCTCGCCGCCGCCCTGCAGACGCTTCAACGTACTCATACCGAAGTCTGATCGACCGCAGAAACAACGAGACTGCATGTGATGCCTCTGTTTGGTCGAAAGCGGGCAGCGTACCTGACACTTTTGCCTGTGGGGTGTCGTAGGGAGATCGGAGTGGGTCGGCCAACAGCACGTTCAGGCTGCATTTATACGACAAGGAGGGCATGGCAGGGAGTGCGTCAGTGGCACACTCGCATCTCGGCGTGTTTTCCTGTGTGTGTACCTACCTTTTGAGGTCTCTGTGTATGATGGGCGGTTTGTGTGTGTGCAGGAACATCATGGCCTTGGCTATGTCCATTGCGATCTTGAGCCGCTGCGGCCACGACAGGACTATGTGCCGGTGTTGGTGAAGCAACTCAAACAAATTGCCTGCACGCAGCAAACCGATCACACACAAGACGGCATATGAACGACATTCGTCTCTCTCCGTCTCTCTCCCTCTCCCTCCGCTATGTACCTCCTCTACAGAACTCGGTAATGACACACAGAGGCCGAGACGCCGTCGTCGCGCCCATAAACAGCACCTGTACTCATCAACGCATCACACACCGGCTGTCTCTCTCCCTCTCCCTCTCCCTCTCCCTCTGTCGTGTTGCGTGTGTGTGTGTGTGTGTGTGGAAGGATACCCACCAGGTTTGGGTGTCGTATCTTGAGCATGACCTCCATCTCCCTGGTGAAGTTGTCGCGGGCCGTCTCGTCCTCACTGCCGTCGGGCAGGATGAACCCGTCCGACAGCTGCTTGACCGCCACATCCGTACCGCGCAACGTGCCGCGCCACACCTGACACATCCACCATCCACCACACAAAGGAAAGAAAGGTCATACAGGGTGTGTGCCTGTTCGGTGCAAGCATCGATTCTTCATGAGTGTACCTGTGCGGTAGCGCCGCTGCCAATGAGTTTCTCGAAGATGAGGTCGCTCCTGGCCACCTCCAGCTCCTCAGGCACCTTCACACGCATACCTCTGCCAGAACCAGAACCCTCTACAACACCACCACCACCTCCAGCCCCACCATCAGCAGCAGCCGCTGCTGCAGCTGCCGATGCAGCCGCCATATGCCCATGACCTTGCCCATGGCCATGGCCATGGCCGTGGGCATGTGCATGCTGCTGGTGCTGCTGATGCTGCTGACCGCCGTGTACAATCGCGTGTGCGTGTGGGTGCGGGTGTGCATGGACGGCCGGCGAATGCACCGCCGCTGCCGCTGCCGCTGCCGGTGATGCTGCTGCCGCTACATGAACGACTGGCGCGTGCACATGCGCGACGGCATTGTGGGCGCGGGGAGGGGACATCTGGTGGTAGCCATAGGCGGGGGAGTGGGGGTGTGGGGGCGGGGCCGCTACCGCTGCGATGTGCGCGTGGTGGTGGTGGTAGGCGTGATGGTGGGGCAGGTAGGGCATCTGGGCGACGACCATATGGTGGGCGGGGCGGGCAACAGCAGCTATAGAGGGAGGGGAGGGGCCCAGCACAGGGGTCGGCGGGGCGCGGTAAGAGCTCTCCTCACCGAACGACCGGCCACCCACACCCACACCCCCCAGCCCATCCCGCTTCTCCGCGCCCTGGCGGTCAACCTGGCTCGCACCCGGCTTGTTCACCGGGGTCCTGTCGTCATTGTCTTGCAGCTGAATCAGGTCGGGCAGCGAGTCGGCTCCAGGCATCTCTGCTCCACTGCCGGGGGCCGACGGGAGTGGGGGGAGGGAGGGGGAGAGGAAGGGCGACACGGGGGCGGAACCAGATGCGGCGGCCTGGTCGAGCGGCTTCTGCTGGGGGGGCGGGGTCAGCCAGTCCACCTGGGAAGCCGCCAGTGGTGCGCTGCCAGGCGGCTTGTCCGGTTCCCTCTCCCGCCTATGGCCATGAGAATGCCCATGCGAATGCCGGTCGTCCATCAGGCTCACAGAGAAGTCTGGGTGCATCCCATCGACAAAACCCTCCCCACTTGGCTCGCGCCGGTGATGGTACTGCTTGCCGGTCAGCATGGCGTTCTCGTCGAGGTTGATAGGGATGGTCCGGCCGCTGTGTCCCGACAGCATCTGAATCTGCGGCACTCCGGCGAGATGCGTGTGGGCGTGCGGACCGTCACATGGCGCGACGAATGGCGAGAGAGGGGGCGTGGTCGGCGCCAGAGCGGTCGCGAGGTCGAAATCATGGTCAGCGGGCTGCTCGGGGGGCGGCAGGGCCACTGCCACTGGCGTAGCACTGGCATGGGCATCACCACGAGCATTTCCATCAGGCGAGGGATTGCTCTGAGTGGCCGGGGGGAACTCGACTGGCCGCGCGTCATCGTTCTCGTCCTCAATCGCCGCTCCAGTGACGTGTGTGCGGCCATTGTTGTTGCGGACTTTGCAGAGTGGGAAGGGGAATGGGAGGCAGAAGGGGACCGCGGCGGGCCTGGCCTTCCTGATGCGTGGCTGAGAGACAATCGTGCTCATGACTGGGAAGGGTGTGAGCTGCTCGGCAGCCTATTGAACGGGTCTTCAGCGACTTGAATGAGCCCAGCGGCAAAGAAGAACTCGGCTAGAGCAGCTGATCGCAGGATCATCACCAGTGTCCTCATCAAAGGCTTCTCAATCGCCTCTGTCGCCTAGTCTGTCCCTTTCCCCTTCTCTCATGCGAGCTCAACTGCGAGCTCTGCAATTTCTTCCCCTTCGGCTCTCCCTCTGGCGCCACTGAGCTCGTCCACGTGACGGGCGTGACTGATCTTTCGTTGCTCTGACTCGACTCAAATTGCTGTCTTTCAGCTTCTCCTCGTTGACTTGATGGAGTCTGCGTGATGATGATGATGCGGGCGCTCGGCAACCACCCCTGCCGCTATGCGCAGGCCGCGGGCAGCCCGTGCAGCCATTACCTTGCTGTGAGTCAGTGTGTGAGGGCTCTGAGGGCGCTGCGGATGTCCAAGGCGGAGAGGGCGGATGCTGGCGCTTTCAGGTGTGCAGGGGGCATGCAACACGGAAGCAGCGAGGTGCATTCATTCGACGTGTGTCGCTGTGTGGGCCTTTCTGTGTGTGTGCAGGAAGAACCTGATGTATGACTGCTCAAGGGTGCACGGTGGGTGGACAGACAGACAAGACAGACAGACCAGACAGACCAGACAGACCAGACAGACAGACAGAGAGTCAGCTGCCCTCACTCACTGCATATAGGGGTGTAGTGTGTTGTGTGCCGTGGGTGTGTGGATGCAGGCAATCGCTATGACTACTCCAAAGTCAACTACGCAAGTAAGAACAGACGCACGGACGGAAAGGCCCGCCGCATCTCTATTGTCCCATGTGTGTGTGTGTGTGTGTGTGTGTGTGTCATCCGTCCTTCACTCAGGTGGCAACGACTACCTGACGATTGTGTGCCCGCAGCACGGGGAATTCACCCTCACCATCAACGAACACCTCAAGGCACGCACACGCACAACCACACAGAGAAAGAGAGAGAAGGACACACACCTACACACATACACCCGTGATCTCTTTCTGGTGCAGAAGCGTCAGGGGTGCCCAAGGTGTGAGGACAAGCTGCGGTACTCAGTCTACCGCAGGCGGCCACCATCCACCACACACCAGGGTGGCAGCAGCGATCGGCCCTCTGGTGGTGGTGAGAGTGACGTGTTCGGCGGTCTGGCTTTGGCGGCGTCCAGCCTTGCGAGGCGCAACGCGTCGAGGCGGCAGGTGGCGAGGGCAGAGGGAGCGTTCAAACAGGTGGCAGTGCATGGTGGGCTTGGATTGTGTGAACAGCTGTCAGTCAGGGATGTGTGTGCTGTGCTGCCTGGCCTGTGTGTTTGATTGAAGGCTGGCAAAGCCTTCGTTGAGGACGCTGAGAGGATACACAGGGGAAGGTCAGCAATCGGACCAATGCAGTGAAGGCCCCTGCCCCCATCCATCCATGTGTTTGGTCGTCACACCGTGTCTGTCGTGCCTGTTGGCGTGTGTCACGTGCCATGTCGGTCGATCAGGTATGGCTATGACAGCGTCGAGTACCTCGGCCCAGACAAGCCGGTCACGATTCGCTGCCCCACTCACGGCAACTTCTCGCTCACTCCCACACAACACATCACACAAGTAAGTAACCACACACATTCACATTTGCGTGACAGAAAGGCATCAACACACGTGTGTGTGTCAATGTCCGTTTGTGTGCAGCGGCGTGGGTGCCCCGAGTGCGCTGCGTCTCGTCCGTCGCTCGTTGTGCGGGCCGTCAGGGAGAGCGCGCAGCTACAGCAGGCCGACGAGGGCACAGGTCTCAACCAGAAGGCTCTGGCCAGCGCCGCGTCATGAAATTGTTGATGAACGGGTGCATGCCGGATGAAGTTTTCGGTGATGTGATGGCGTGATATGATTTGGGACGTCGAACAGACTCTCTCTGTGCGTGCGAGAAGACGCCCGTTGATGAATCCACTCTGTCGGCGTTCTCCACAATTGAGCCATCGCGAGCTTGCACCCGTCGCCACCTCCCATCTTTCCCTCTGAGTCTATTTTGGTTGTTTCAGCTCAAGAACAGGCATAGCAATGGCCAGCAGCTCTTCCTCTGCGGCCTTCCCCCCACCCACCAATGGCAATCAGCAGAGCGGCCTCTCTCCTCAACAGTACGTCGAGGAGTCGAGGCAGTTCGTGCAGTCGGTCATGTCGCACAGCTCCGGGAAGGGACGGCTCTCGCATCGCACACAGGGGGAGGTCTTCGAAATCTTCCAGCGGCTCTTGTCGAGCGAGAAGTTCTCGATGCTACTCACCGACAACTTCTACTGGGGCAGGTTTTTGGTAGGTATGCCACACCACAGCCTCACAGAGAGAGAGAGAGAGAGAGAGAGAGACGCAGGCAGACATGAAGCGTCGTTGTCGTGTCTGCAGGTGGTGAAGCAGCGCTTCCTTAATGGTGTGGAGTGCGGTCCTAATTTGGACAAGCAGGGCATCGTGTCGCTGACGGCGGAGAAAGTGCAGGTGGGTGTGTGTGTGGGAATTGGACACTGTGTGTAGAGGGGAGGGACGGCGGCACATGACGTGTTGTGTTGTGTTGTGTTGTTGGCACCTTGTTGAGAACAGGAGTACTTTGGCCCGTCGACGCGCCACCATCTGCCCACTTTGCGGGACCTCGAGGGCTTCTTCCACGAGTGAGCTGAGCAAACGAGCGCACACACGCACGTGTACACGCATCCAGGAGGTCTGAAGATGGTGCTTCCAACCAACTTGTTGTGTGCATACCAGGTACGATCAGTTGTGTGCGATTTGCGGCATTAACCCCACCGGCGCTGAGGTCACACGCACACACAGCCATCCCTCTGTTCGTGCACCTCACCGCTGCCCCTGTGTGTGTGTGTGTGTGTGCGTTGTCTGGTTGCAGCTAGAGTTGAAGGTGCCCGCCCCCCCATCGTACGGCCTGTACGGCATCAGCGCATTCCTCCCGCCATCAGGGAACCTCAAGCGACGAGACCCCCAGGATCACACCCAGGGCATGGCCTGCGGACGCGGTGGCGGTGGCGGTGAGAGGGAGGATGACGGTCAGATGTCGTCCTGGAGCCCCTCGTCGTCGCGCCGCATCACACCCTTGTGCCCATCGCCTGACGGTGAGAGGGGGGAAGGAGAGCGGTGGGTTTCTGTTTGTTTCATGCATCCATCGTAGTGTGTGTCGTCCATCTGTCAGGGGGCATGCGCGCCGAGCGTGTGGATGAGAGCCGCAAGGACGTCCGCGAGCGGAACAAGTGACCCCCCCCCACACACACGTTTGCTGTGTTGCCTAATTGGCGTGTGTCATCCGTATGTCCATCCATGTGTTTGTGCGTCAGGTTGTTGGCCCGCCACAGGCAGGGCAGGAAGCGGGCGGGTGAGCTGGACCTGGAGCAACTGGGCAGCGCCTTCGTGTCGCAAGACGGAGAGGGTCAGTTAACAATCATGACCGATCTCCCCACCACACACAACACACTGCATACCAAAGCCGAATGCTCTGTGTTCTGTGTCTGTCCATCTCCCCTCAGATGGCCGTTTCGTCCGTCGTTCGAAGCGTTCCCGCAAGCCCAACTCATCGCTGTCGATGGATCTGGGCATTGACATGGACACGGACAAGATAATGGCGCCTCCCCCCGTCCCCCTCTTCCCTCCCTCACCCCCCAAGCACCACCACCACAGCAGCCACAGCAGCAAGAAGTCGCCCAAGAAGCCCATGGCAGCCGCTGCTGCCTCTGCTGCGGCAGCTGCCTCTGCTCCGGCGAACATGGCGGGCCGCCGCCTGGATGAGGGCATGGAGGGCTGGGAGGGGGAGGAGGGCGATAGGTGAGCACGAACACTGAATGCGTGACGATCGAGCCATCGCGGTCAACTATGGCATGTGTGTGTCTTGGTGTGTGTGTGATGTGGCTCAGGGCGGGTGCGCCGTCGTCCCCTGCGTCTGCTTCCCCTGCTGCGGCTGCCGCTGCTGCGTCTAGCGGTAGTGGGGCTGCTGCGGCTGCCGCTGCAGGTGCGTCGGGCACGGAGTCGGGGTCACCCGAAGATGACCAGGAGATGCACAGCGGGTGAATGGACAACACACACACACCACACACCTTAGACACCCATTCACACGTTGTGTCTTCATTGTGTATGTATGTGTGTGTAGCGAGGGCCCGTCACTCTTCGGACGGCTGACCGGCATGCTCCCGTGGTTTGGACGCCACAACTAGACACACACACACACACGCACACGTATCCCAGCCAAGTTTCTTGAAGGGAGATGCACCTCCTGGACCAGTCGCGGACTCCGCAAGGGAAGTTTCCCCTCTCCTTGCCACGCGTTTTTTCGGACTCTTGTGTTTTTTTCTGACTCCACTCACACACACACACACATATACACACACACAATTGCACACACACATGCATGTGTGTGTGGCACAGAAGTGGTTGCTTGGGTGATTGTCCCCGGCGTTCTCTTGTGTCTTTTCTATTGTTGTGTGTTGAGTGGCGGGCATGCTGCATGCTGCACGTTGCTGTCTTCCACCATGGAAGGATCAAGATCGGTGGGCGGGCGATTTGGCCGGGCAGGGGGCATTGACTATTGGTTCGGTTCGACCCGATTGTCCCCCGTCTTTTCTCTTTTCTCTCTCTCCTCTCGTGTGTGAGCGAATGAGTGACGGCGTTTTGGTGACCTGACTGACCGGGATGGGATGTGTGGACGGTGAGGTGAGCTCGAGTGTGGGTGTGTGCCATGATGTGGCATTCGAGAAACGAGAACCTTCCCTCTCTCAAATGCTTTCGTGACTCACACACACTCGTGCTCACCCGTTTCGTCTGATTGGTTGGTATTGGTTGATGGATGAATGGATGGATGGAGGGATTACAGAGCGAATGGCAATTGCATGCGATCATCGCATTTTGTGGCCGGCTGACCGACAATCCAGTCCACCGTATCTGTGTGTGTATGTGGCAAGCAGTCTCCTTTCCACGGACACATTGCACACACAGCCCGCGCGCCAACGGGAATGTTCTCAATAAGAGTATTCTCGTTCAGGCGTGGCCTGGGTGGTCTGCGAGTGTGTCCATGAAATGAGACTCCCCTTGCCCCGACCGACTGTATTGGATATTGCACCATCTCTGTTGGTACATACTTCCAGACAGATGCAGACCTGCATTTCTTATGACAGTGGATGGGTGCGTGGCATTTTGTACTACGTGACGGACAGACCACTCCATATCCGTTTCCACATCATCAAAGCATGTATTCCTTTTGGTGGATTGAACGAAACCGAGACGACGGAGCGAGCAACTGTGTCGCATTCATTTTGTGGCGCGTTTCTTGTGCCTGGCTATCTGTCTGTGTGTGTGCCTGTTCTGTGAAGCAGCCTCCTTCTCTCGGACACATGACGTCATCTCTCCACTCCACAACGGGAATATTCACAAGACGAGTATTCCCGTTTAGGTGTGGGTGGTCTGCGAGTGTGTCCATGAGATGAGACTCGCTTTGCCCCGACCGACTGTATTTGATATTGATTGCACCATCCCCTACACTCACACACACATGCAGGCCTGCATTTGCTGTGAGGACCGAGTCTGGTGTGGGTGTGTGGCTGGGTGGGTGGATCAATGAATGGTGGGTGGGTGGCATTTTGTACAATGAATCTCTTGATGATGGGATGGGTTGAACGAGGGAGACCGAGACGCCTGACCAAGCCAAGCAACAAATGTGGTGGTTAATCGATGATCGATGATCCATCCATGCCGTTCATTCCCTGTCCATGGCAATCCAGGCAAGAAGAAAGATGCGAAGGAAGAAGCATTAGTTAGAGTACATTGCAGCCATCCATCCACACACGTGCACACCTCATCACACGCAGCAGCAGCACACACGACACGAGCCCAGTGAGTGCACCAGCAGCACCGGGCCCCACACACATACACATGACACGCGCAGCAGACCAAATTCATAAGACAGCCAGGCAGACAGGCAGGCAGGCAGACAGGCAGTCAGTGAAGAGTGAAATGACACACGGCTGGGCTGGGCAGGGTCGGACAGAGCAATGGTCGATGTGTCGGTCAGTCAGTAGTCGCTCGCTCTGTGCTGCGAAAAACGGAAAAAGCTGGTCAAGTCGTCAAGTCAGGTAGGGAGGAGGGCGGGACGCCTGGCGTCACTCAGAAGCCCTCACCTCAATCGATTAATCGATCAATCATGCAACCAACAGCCAGGGGAGGAAGGACAAGAGCAGCGTCCATCCATCCATCCATCCATCCATATGGACTAGCTATACACTCTCACGGACACGGACACTGGCACGGCCACGGACAGACATACGAGGCATCCACACGAGCGATCGACTACACCACACAACACAAAGGGCCTGACACACACGAATGAACCGATGGATGGATGGATCCAGGCAGGCAGGCAGGCAGGCAGGCGGGTCAAGTAAGTGGGCTGGCTGGGCTGGGCTGGTCCTGTCAAGTCAGTTAGGTCACGTCAGGTCAGTCAGGTTGGGCATATCATCCGAGAGCTGCTAATAGCAAAGGGAGGGAGGGAGGGAGGGTGCAGTAAGCCAAAGGAAGGAAGAGCTTCATTCTCCATGAATGGACACAACCATGCACTCAACGGGTCCAGACACCTACGCAGCTATCTGTCTGTCTGTCTGTCTCGCTCAAGCAAGGGTTCGTTCGTTCGACCACACACGAGGGAAAGAGGTTCTCTCTGGCTGGCCATAGAAGAACAGATGAGTGGATGGATGGACGGATGGGAGGAGCCGAATTCGCACACACACATGACACGAAGCGACATGCAAGAGAAAAACGGGGAGAGAGAGAGAGAGAGAGCTGCGTGTGGTAGACGTCACTGTGTGCGGTGTGGTGTGGTGTGGTGTGTGTGTGAATTCCTTACTTGCCGCCTGCCTTGATGAAATAAACATACATACACACACACATTTATCGGTCGGTGGCGAAATTAAAAACAAAAATGCGAACATACCACCACCGAGACAAAACAAAAGAAAAACTGTACTCTAATGTGTGGCTGTAGTGCGGTGCGGTGTGGCGTGTTGTGTGTTGTTTGCTTTGTTGTGTGTTGTCCGGTGCATGGGCAACGGCCGACGAGAGAGAGAGGAGCAGAGAGAGAGAGACAGAAAGGAAGGAGAAAGGAGTAGAGACACTCACTGTGCAGTGCACGCCTGCCCGGCTCAGACAGACAAACACCAACGATCCATCCCACCAACCATCGATCGACCAACGCATATATCAAATCAACACTCACACATGACAGATAGATACGGTAATGGCAGGGTAGGTAAGTACGTATGTGTGGATGGGCAAAACAGGCCAGCAAGCCAGCCAGCCAGCCAAGAGTGTGTGTAGGTAGGTGCAGGTGAAGTGTAGGTGTAGGTGTGGGTGTGTCTCTTGTCTTCGACTGATGCTGCTCTTCATGATGAATGAATGAATGAATGACTGTCTCTATCAGCCCGCCCAGCCAGCTTGCTCCCCCTCTCCCCTCCCTCTCCCCCCCTCCCTCGTAACCTGCCTGCCTGTCTGTCTGCCTGTTGCTGTGTTTCTTCCTTCGTGCGACTGCCTGCCCTGGCCTGCCCCACACACGAACGCACAGCCCACCATCACTCCTTCGATCGACCGCGGGCGGCCCGGCCACGTGGTTGCAGCCACGGCCGCATACAAACGATCGACAAAACCCACACACACTGACACGCCAGCGAGAGGGAGGGAAGGCAACGCATGAAGGAATGAAGGCAATGAAGGAATGCACCTACGGATTGGTTACACATGAGAGTGAGTATGAGCATGAGTATATCGACATACATTCAGCCATTGCCCTCTCCCCTCTGTCTGGTCTGTCTGTCCATGCACACACAACACATCACGACACACCCCTCCCTCCCCTCCCGTCAACAATCCATCAGAAGCACCGCATCACCGCACTGTCGTCGGACCAGTTGCTCTCTCCCCCGTCAGAGCGCACATCCACATCATCCATCAGATCGCCGTCCCCGCAACCGTCATCAGAGCCCTCATGGTCGTAATCGCCATGGTCATGATAGTCCCCCATGGCCGCCTGCCGCCTCAGCTGCATCTCCTCCTTGTTGTTGAGGCCGTCCTCCTCTGCTCGGAAGGTGGAGAACCCCGCTGACACCAGGCCACTCGCCCCACGGCTTGGAGGGTAGTAGTGCGACGACGAGGGGGCGCTCGTGCGCACATACGAGGGAGACGCACCGTCTTGGTCGGAGTTGTCGGAGTCGTCGGACCTGCACACACAGAGAGAGATGGACAAACAGATGGATGGATGGATGGGTGTGGGTGTGGGTGTGGGTGTAGGTGTGGGTGTGGGTGTGGTTACCAGTTGGAGTGTCTTTTGCCGACGGGTTTGATCCTCGGTCGTGGTTGTAGGTTGCGGGCGCGGAGAATGCGGGATAAATCCAACCTGACACACATCACACATCACACACATGCACACATCTCTCTCCCTCCCTCTCTCTCTCTCTCTCTCTCTGACTCTCTGAATGCCAGGCTGACCTCGGGACAATCATGGGTCTCCTGGATACGGCAATGCCCCCCTCCCCCGCAGCAGCCGACTCGCCATCCTCCATGGTGTCGCTCATCTGCTCAGACAGCCCGCTGCAGCTGCTCTTGCCGCTCTGTGTCCCACCACTCCCAGACGACGGGCCCCCCGACCGCCTCCTAGGGATGGGCAGGTCCAGCTGCTCGGCGTCGTCCGCCTTGCTCTTCTTCTCCTTGGCGTTTCTGGCGTCTCTCTCTTGGATTTCCTGCTCGAGCTCCTCGGGTGAATTACTTCTGAGGTCGAAAGGCGGGCTGCTCTTCTCGCTGTCGGGCGGGGCGTCGTCATTTGTGGTGCGTGTGCAGGGGAGGGGGCCCCACTTGATGGACACGCGGCGGTCCCTCCGACCACTGCTTTTCTGTGTTGTGTCGTCCTCCTCTCCCTCGCGCCTGTCCTCCTTGACGATATCGTCTTCTCTGGCTTCTCCGCTGCTGTCATCCTGGTCTTGCAGTGCGTCGGGCACACCCACCCCCATTCCCCCGCCCCACCCAACGAAGATCTTCTCGGCGGTGCTGCTGTCCTCCAAGTCAGCCACGAGAGACGACGATCGTCGTGGGCTGCCAGTACCCTGTCGGGCCGCCAAGGGGCCGCCCCGCAGACCCAGGTTGAAGTTGAGCGACAGAAGGGAGAAGGCGCAAAGCGGCCGGCTGCCCCCTCCCCCTCCTCCGCCCCCTGACGAGCTCTTGTCGCGGCTCGGCAGCCACCTTGACGCGAAGCTGTCAAGCAGCGCGGCCACCGTGCGAGACGGCGACCTGTCGAGCCCCAGACCCAGACCGAGCGTGTTGACGAGAGATGACGCGCCTGATGACGATGAAGTCGACGACGAAACCGACCCCTCCTTGCCGCGTCTGTTCCGCCGCTCCCCCGCCCCCGCCGCTGCTTCCTGGCTGACGTCTTGCTGTGGGGGTGAGCCGTCACTGGACGCGGTCCCACGCTTGAACTGCCGTCGGTAGGCGTCCTTGACAACGGCGCGCCATTTGCGCCACAGCCATCCGGACCAGAAGCGCTCTCCTCCCCCCCGGCCCTTGCTGGGCATCGTCAGCGATCGCACCTGTTTTCTGTCCAGGGTGCGCAGGGTGGGTGGGGGGGCGGGGGGGCAGGGGGGCGGTTGGTGATGTCGCGGGGAGGGGGGCGATGCACTTGCTGACGCAGAGGCAGAGGCAGAGGCAGATGGGTATGCCGGTGGGGGAGGCCGCTTGCTCGATGCTGGGACGGAAAACGTGACGCGTGGGGGGTCGGCTGGACGAGTGAGGGAGGGGTGGGGATTGATTTGCCCTATTACACGCAGGAAGACACACATCCATCCATCCATCCGCACTGCGTTCGTTGCGTGACTGACCTCGCACAACGATCTTGGGGGTCGGTTGTGGGGGAGACGTCACAGCCCTGTGTCGATACAAGCGGCCAGGGGGGGCGGGGATGTCAATGGCCGAGTAGGCCGTGCGATTGAGGTCACCACGCAAGGCGCACTGGTCCGCAGCAGCAGCAGGGGGCGGCAACGGCTGCACCGTGTTGGTGTCACTCTGGTAGGGCGACGGAGTGTCGCCCGGGTCTCCCTCCAGCTCTCCCTCCCACTCCCCCCTCTCATCCCAGCTCGCCAGCCCAGAAAGCGCGATGCACGCGGCCTGCTCGTCCCCCCTCCCCGTGTCCACATAAAGCGGCGCTTGCGACACGTACGCGACAGTGTAGTGGTGCGGCAGGTGGGTCGGCTTCGAGAAAAGGGGCGACGCACTCGTCGACGAGTCGCCCATCGAAGGAAACGCACTCGATGACACCCTCACGCACGGCGAGCGCCCCCCGACCCTGCCAGAGATGTCAAGCAGGTCATCGAGAGCACAGCTGTCGCTCGGGATGCTCAGGTCTTGTGGTCTTGCAGGGGGTGAAGTGAGGGGCGGGGGTGCCGGTGAGGGGAGGGAGGGGAGGGTGAGCGACGCAGCCGATATGTCCGACTCCCCCGTGGCCGTGGACATGCACTCGGTCGACTGAGTGCTCGAGTGCATGTAGTTCTTCATGGCTGGGGCGGGGAAGGGCGGCGACCTGGACGCCTCATGCACAGAGACCTTCCCCCGTGTGTGGGCGGCCGGCATGGTGCTGCTGTGATGGCCGCTCTGGATCAGCTGAAACACGGGAGACGTCAGCGCCGCCAGCTTTCCGCTGCCATTGTCTGCTGGCGGAGTGTCCTGGTCAGAGTCTTCCTTCATGCTGCTGATGCTGTGCTGCGCTTTGTTGTTTGATTGACGACTCAGTGACTCGGTGAGAGGGCCGACGGGCGGTCTCAGCTTCGGCGAGAGGCGACAAAAGGCGAGCCAGCGCGACCGGCTTTGTGAAGCGCTCGACCCGCGACGATGAGCATGGGGCAAAAACTCACGATACACGAGAAACAATCAAGCCTCTCCCAGCCTTCTCAGTCAGCCGAACCGCCAAGAACCGCCAAGCGACTGTGGGAGGGAGAGGGGAAGCCGAAATCGCGGATAACCTCACCACTCCCGACGCCTCTGTGGTCTTCTCACCTCCTATGGCCGCCTCATGGCCTTCTCAGCACCAGGTTGGTCAGCTCGTGAGCAGGGAATGGGCCCTCTCCGCGTCAGCCCACATGCATGCCTCCTCGTCGCGTCCCTGGGGCTAGGTGAGGAGGTGGGAGGCGGAGGGGAGCCGCCCACAGCCAATCTCCCTCGTGTACGCGCCCTGTAAGCGCATAGGGCGCTAATTGCGCGTGAAACCATTCTCTGCGAGCTAAGCCTGGAGATTGGAGAAGGTGAGAGGAGGAGGGCTTGGAAATGTAGTCGAGTCCCCCGTGCCCGTGAGCCGCTAGAGCTGGTGTTCACGAGAGGCGTCATGCGGTAGATCTGTGATGGCGCTGCATACTTGTTGGCACGTGTGATTGGCTGCTGGTGCTGGTGGTGCCGCTGCACGTTCACTTGTTGCGTCGATGGCTGCGCTGCGGCCGGTTGGGCAGCTGGCGTATTGGGGAGGCCTCTTGGGACTCGTAAGCATGACTGACCAGGCGGAGAGGGAGGCAGCCACTGCTGTGCTGTAAGTGTGTTGCTGTGTGTTGCTGTGTGTGTGTGCTGCTTGATCGATCAGACGACGTGTTTCTTCTTTATGCTGTGGGTAAGTGCGACGTAGAACCTCCAGGACACTGCAGCATGAACCTCAGATGGCACTGGGGGATTCATTCAGATGCGCGGGGGCGAGAAGTGCATGTTCTACGGGGTGTGCGACGAACTCACCCTCACGCCCGTCTCGTGGTTCGTCTCCTGCCTCCACCTCGTCTGGTACACACGCACAGAAGGGGGAGGCAGTGTCATTGCTGGTAGATGTGGTCTCTCTCTCTCTCTCTCTGTGTGTGTGTGTGTGTGAGCAGGTTCGTGGCCATATTTCCCTTCTTCATTCACTTGGCGGTGCGCATGACAAGACACACACACACACACACACACACATGGACAGGGAGAGTGCTCATGGCGATTGCTGTCTGTCTGTCTGTCTGTCTGTCTGTCGGTGTCAATGTGTGTGTCAGGTGGGATTCTTCCTTCCTACATCGGTGTGTTTCGGGCGCAAGACGCCCCGAAGAATCGCAGGCGGCATGGCAGGCCGAATCGTCTCATTCAGGTGAATGTGACGCGCCTACGCCCTCACAAACCATACATCCCGCCAAAATGTGCACATGTGATGATTTCTTGGTTGGCAGGGTGGTGACCAAGGGCGAGAATCCGTCTCTAGTGCGGGAGACCTGCGCCCGCAACATCGGCAAGCTCCTCGACCGAGCCCCGTTCCCATGGATTGTCGAGGTCGTCACCGACCGATTTCTCGACATTCGGTGCGCTCTGATGCCTCTCATCCACACACATGGATGGATGCCGGCGTGTGTGCTGTGGTGTGGTGGTGGGGATGGTGTGTGCAGGCAGTCATTTCGCTCGTTCAGTGAGGATCACTTCGAGGTTGCGGAGCGCGTGTACGAGATCCTGGTGCCCGACGACTACCGGACAGAGAAGGGGACGCTGTACAAGGCGAGGGCGCTCAACTATGCTAACAGAGATGGCATGTCCACTCTCGGTGATGACGACATTGTGGTTCATCTGGATGAGGAGACGCTGATCGACGAGTCATCCATCGACGGCATCGCACAGTTCATCAACGACAACCCAAACAGAATAGGTCAGGTGGTGTGGTGTGGCGTGGGATGGTGTGATGTGTGTGCCATGGGTGTGCAACGATCTCTGTGTTGTGTGTGTGTGTGTGCGTGTGTGTGTGCGCAGGGATCGGGCTGATAGTGTACGGGCAAGACCTGATTGTCAACCCATGGATGACCATGGCCGACAGCTTCAGGGTGAGGTCGCGACACAAGAAGGCTGCAGCACTGACCTCGCCACTACCGACAGCCGTCCGTGTGCAGATTACAGACGACTACACCAAGCACCGGCTCTACTTCACCCTCGGCGCACCACTCCTTGGCATGAAAGGTGCGTGACCTTCCTGTTTGTTTACACACATACATCCCATCTGCACATTGGTCAGGTTCGTTTGTGGTGATGCCGGTGTCGATTGAGCGCGGCGGCGGCGGGTGGGATCTCGGTCCGGACGGCTCCATCACTGAGGACGCCGTGTACGTCCTCAAGGCAATCGAACGGAAATGCAAATTCGGATGGGTGTCGGTAGGTGCCTCTGTGTGTGTGTGTCTGTGTGTGCAGGGGACGAATGTCTGTGTGTCTGCTTGTGTGTGTGCCATCAGGGTGTGATGCTGGAGAAGTCGCCATTCGACCTGCTGGACTTCCTCAAGCAGCGGCGGCGGTGGTTCCACGGGCTATGGCTCACCGCACTCAAGCGAGACCTCAAACTCCGAACACGAACGCGTAGGCATACGCACACACACACACGAGCAGCCACACCATGGCCTCCCACACACATACACGATGGATGCATCTGGTCTCTGTGTGTTGGGGGGGGGGGGGGG